TACTTTAAAAAATCATGATGAGTTAGTTAATAACAATATTTATTAATTTTTGGTAATTTACTAAACGTATTTATTAATTTTTGATAATAACACTATTTAATACTCATAGAATATGGGTTGCATTAAATATTAATCATATTTTACTATTTATTAATTAATATGAATATTTTAAATAAGAGAAAGAGAGAGTGGATATAGATTAGGGGAAGAGACTTTAGGAATTGATTGGGAAATGGGGTAACATGATAAGTTTCTAATAGCTTAGAGGAGATACCTTAAGAGAGAGATTGTAGTAATATTTTTAAGTAGTTGGGTTGGGAATGGTGACATGGTTTAATGAGAGTGGTAGGAAGGGAACAGGAGAGAGAGAGTCTAGGAAAACGAAAGGTGGAGATAACGGAGCAAGTAGAGGCATGCTGATGTGGACCGTCTTGCTATATGTATATAGATAGCTGTATTTGTATTTTTTTCATGGAAAAATATTTCCAATACACAGTTGCAAGTGGCTGTGAATACAATATGATTTTTATGAGGACTGAATCCAATCATGGAGAGGGGGGAGGGGGGGTAATGACTTTAACTAACAAACTAAGGTTTCGATCTCAAGTTGAGCCAAGCATAATCCAAGGCATGTGAGCCCTCATTTGTTTATGATTTTAGCTATTTAGCTGTTTTGTAGCACTCGGATCTGCTACCCACAAAATGTTTTCACACTATATCCACAGAACACCACCATCCCGTATTGGGATTTGATATTCCCAATGCATAGCGCAGGAATGTGGGGACAACTAGTGGATAGCAAATCCCAGCCTGTTTTATAGTCAAACTGGACTACCAAACAGAATAAGTAAATTCGATTTGGTTTGATTTGTCAACCAAGCTGAACCGAAAACCAAAGGAACTGTTTTGAAGTCGGTTCAGTTATGACTACAAGATTGGTTCAATTTGGTTTGTTAGAATGCTTAAACCAATTTTTCATTTAAGGCTCAGTTTGGAAAGAGTATAAATGCAAATGTATACAATGCATTAGGCTAGGTTTGAAAGAAGTATAAATACAAATATGTAGAGTGCAAAACCTTGCATTTTGTATATATTTGTATTTGTACTCCTCCCAAACTAAGCCTTAGGTTCTTAATTATAACCAAATCGGTTGAATGAACATTTATGATCATTCTTAAATCTAACTAACCTTAGCATAGAGAGCTTGCAAATGTATGAATTTGATCCGTGCTATAACAATTTTCTGTATTTAATATATAATGAAGGGTGATTTGGCCCAACCTAGCAAAAAGGGGACACGTGGACACGACTTGACTAAGAGATGACAGCTCAACCTGTCAAGATTAGTTCGCAACAATTGAGCTCGGCTATTCAGTCACCTCGGCACAAGGGTCACCTCGGCACAAGGTCACCTCGGTGTCGAGGCATCTCAGCATTCAATCTAGTTCGGAACTAAAAGACTGAAGTATCAACTCGGGGCTACCGACCCAGACCACCATGTAACGATCCCGAAAGTTTCTCTAGTAGACTCCGAACCTCACGTGATCACGCCGCGTAACGGCAGGCCTAATATTCTCCCCACCCAGATCGGGCGGAATTGATAATATTTATTAATTGATAACGTTACTCCCCAATTAAAGCGGAAACGAATCCCATCAGGATGAAGATCCCGGAACCAATCTGCAAAACCCGCGAGGGCTCAACTATATAAAGGCACCAACCCCAATGACACAAGGTACCCGTGATTTTTCTACTCTCTAGCTCTCTAGCTCTCAAAGCTTTCAGCTCGCACCAACCCCAATGACACAAGTCTAGAAATTTTCTCCTTTTTTTATTTTTTTTGAAATTTCTTTAATCCATGTCATTTTCGAAACTACCAATTAGAAACTCTACTTTCCTAAAAAAAATCTTCCTAATCTCTCTCTCTCCCCCCCCCCCCCCCCCACACGTTCCAATAATCTAAATAATCTAATATCCTAAAATTTCTCCTAAACAACCTCCTCCACTATCCTCAACTTTATCTTAAGTTGTCTCTAATTTAGTAGAGAGTTTTTCTCCTAAATTATCTCTAATTCTTATTTACTTTTGTTAGAGTCGACAGTACAAAGGGTATTTTGGTCATTTGTCTATCTAGTTGAGAGTGAATAGTTTGTTCTGTTTAAGTTTAAGTTATGCGTCCCATACTTAATGATGGACAATTCAGTCTTTTATATTTCAGTTTATATACAATATAAATACAAGTGGGTTGGCTTGGAGAGTGTAACTTTTCCTCTCTAGACCAAACCCTTCTTCTCTTTCACTCTTTCTACTTCTTCTTCTTCTTCTTCTTACCTAGAACTAATCTAGGGTTAATCAATATATTCACATGGTATCAAAGCAAATATAACAAGTTCAAATCTGCTCGTTCTTGTTTAGATTTACCCAATTTTATCGCCCTTTTCTCTAGAGTTTCGTAGATTTCTCAAGAATCCCTTGGAGATTAAGGGAAAGGCTGCAAAGGAGTGATCATTTTTCTCTTTAGAAAGTGTTTGCCTGTCTCTTGAGGAAGTGTGTGCCCATCTTCGGAGGATTTCTATTGATCCTATAGAGTCCTCCCCACTTTCGGAAAAATCTGGTTTTGTGGTGGCAAGAGGAGGAGGTCATGGAAATAGAGGCGGTGGAGGTGGTTGTGGGTTTCTAGGGAACTGAGGTGGCCATATGTTTAACCGTATTGGTGGCCAAAGTGGAGGTCGAAAGTTAGGGGGAGGTCATGGTAGAGGAAGAAGTACTGGACCTAGAAAGTGCACATACTGTAGATTAGAAGGACATACTGTGTCCACCCAACAGTTAGGCTAATCATGCTGTGACTAGTGGTAGTGGTACCATTAGTGAAAACCAACAGACTGATCAGACCCCCTCCACATCTACTGGTCTTTCTAAGAAGGAAATGGTGAGTGTACCATGTGAGGTATATGAAAAATTCCTTCAAACATCCTCTTAGCAGAATACAACTACTCTTACTCATTCAGGTATGGCTTGCTTGGCTTCCAAACCCTCATCCTGGATCATTGACTCTGTAGCCTCGGATCATATGTATGAGATTCCATATATATTTTCTTCTTTTTCCCCATCTTCTACATCCCAAACAGTTTCACTTGCTAATGGTTTTACCTCTCCCATCTGTGGTGTTGGTGATGTTGATCTGACCTCCTTATATTTATCCTCTGTTTTATATGTACCTAAGTTTCCCTTTAATCTTGTGTCTATTAGTAGACTAACCAAGCCACTTAATTGTTCTATAACCTTTTATCCCTCCTCTTGTGTGTTTCAGGATCTCAATATGGGGATGAAGATTGGTGGAGAGCATAAAGCAAGTGGATTGTATTACCTTGATGGTGGTGCCCCGCCAATAGCCTTTCAGTCATCTCTTACTCCTCTCTAATGGCATTGCAGATTTGGTCATCCATCTCTCAAGGCTCTAAAGTTATTGGTTCCATTCTTAAGTCATATTTCATCGTTGGATTGTGAGTCGTGTCAGCTTGGGAAACACCATAGAGTCTCTTTTAGTCAAAGAGTTGATAGTTGTGTCTTGAGTCCCTTTTCTTTAGTTCATTCTGATGTTTGGGGTCCAAACAAAGTGGTGTCATACAATGTTTATAAATATTTTATAATTTTTGTTGATGACTTTTTAAGGATGACATGGCTTTATCTTATGAAAGATCGTAATGAATTGTTCTCTATTTTCCAAAAATTTTATGCTGAAATACGTACCCAATTTGGATTCATGTTAAAATTCTTCGCTCAAATAATGCAAAAGAATACATCTCAACACCATTTCATGAATACTTAGAGAACCATGGGATCATTCATCAAACTTTTTGTTCTTATACCCCACAACATAATGGAGTGGCTGGACGGAAAAATCGACACCCACACTTATTTGAAACCACAAGGTCAATTATGCTTGAAATGAATGTCCCAAAGCATTTTTTGAGTGATGTTGTCCTAACATCATGTTTCCTCATTAATTGGATGCCCATGTCCATCTTTGGAAGTCAATCACCTTTCTTAGTCTTGTTCCCTACCCTTTCTCCATTCCCTCTTACTCTTAGAGTCTTTGGTTGTGTTTGTTTTGTTCATAATTTAGGACTTGGTTTAGACAAGTTAGATGCATGTGCTTCCAAATGCATCTTCCTTGGATATTCCAGGACAAAAAAATGGTATAAGTGTTATAACCCTAGATCTCATTAGTCATTTATGTGTTCAGATGTCATTTTCTTTGAGTAAGTTCCTTTTTTCTCGAGTATTGAGGCTCATTCTCCTAATCCTGTGGTTCCACTTCCTGTTCCAATAAAGGACCCCATTCCTGTGGTATTTGCTCCATCTCAACCTTCACCCATGTAGGTTAATACTAAGAGACCACCAATCAGATAAGTGTATACTCATAGGAAAGCACAGCCCCTCCTCCAATTCAGTCCTCGTTGACAGACCCTATGGTTGCACCTCTTCCTTCTGACCTTAATCTTCTTATTGCATTATGAAAAGGTAAATATAGTTGTACATCTCATCATATTTCTCAATATGTTCCAGTTGCTCACATTTCTGCTTCCCATCGCCATTTTGTATCATTGCTATCCTCTGTTTCCACTCCCAAGAATGTCTAGGAAGTCCTTACCTCTCCAGGGTGGCGACAAGCAATGGAAGAGGAATTGTCTACTTTACAATAGAATCACATGTGGCAACTTACTACTCTCCCTCCCAGTAAGCATGTTGTTGGGTGTAAGTGGGTCTACACAGTGAAGTATCTTCCAAATGGTAGTGTGGAACGATTAAAGACCAAGTTAGTGGCCAAGGGCTATTCTCAATTATATGGTGTTAACTATACGAAGCCTTTCTCTTCTGTAGCTAAAATTGGCTCAGTTCAGGTATTAATTTCATTAGCAGCAATGTATGATTAGCTTATCTTCCAACTAGACATAAAGAATGCCTTCCTGCACGGTGATTTGATTAAGGAAATATATATGGAGCAACCACCAAGGTTTGTTGCTCAGAGGGAGGATGGTAAGGTTTGTAGACTCAAAAAGGCTATCTATGGGCTAAAACAATCTCCACTTGCGTGGTTTGGCAGATTCAGTGGAGTTGTGAAGAACTTTGGGATGAAACAGTGTCAAGTAGATCATTCTGTGTTTAGCCGTGATTCAAAATATGGAAAAATCTTGCTAATAGTGTATGTGGATGATATTGTCATAACTAGTAGTGACAACAATGGGATTGATAGATTGAAAAACTTCCTACAGAATCACTTCCACATGAAGGATCTTGGTAAGGTAAAATACTTCTTGGGAATAGAAGTTGCAAGGTCAAGGCATGGAGTTAACTTGTGTCAAAGGAAATATGTCCTTGACTTATTTGAAGAAATAAGGCTCTTAGGTGCCAAACCAGCCAAAACACCTATGGAACTGAATGCTAAGTTTAGTATTGATGCATGTGAAGAATTTGATGATCCTAGAGGGTACAAGAGGTTGGTGAGAAAATTGAATTATCTAACTATCACAATACCAGATATATCATTTGTTGTAAGTATGGTGAATCAGTTTATTCAACATCCTCGGGTCCTCCATGGGGAAGCAGTCCTAAGGATAGTTAGGTATCTGAAGGGTGCTCCAGGTCATGGTTTGTTATATAAAAGTGAGGGAACTCTTGAGATATAAGGATATACAGATGCTGATTAGGTCAGATCTGTGTCAGACATAAGGTCAACCGTAGGGTATTGTACCTTCCTTGGTGGCAATCTGGTAACTTGAAAGAGCAAGAAACAAACAGTAGTGGCAAGGAGCAGTGCAGAAGCTGAGTACAGGGCTATGGCTCATATTACATGTGAACTAGTATGGCTGAAGAATTTGTTACAAGAAATGGGGTTTTCAATTGACAGACCCATGAGGTTATACTATGATAATCAAACTGTTAATCATGTCTTCCATGAGAGAACAAAGCATATTGAAGTCGACTGCCACTTTGTAAGAGAAAAAGTGATTGATGGAGTGATAACTACAACTCATGTCAGTTTCGGAAATCAGTGGGTAGATCTTTTTACAAAGGGGTTGTCTCGAGGTAGAGTAGATTACATATATGACAAGCTAGAACTATATGATACATATTCTCCAGCTTTAGGGGAACTATATGATACAAAGGGGTTTGTCTATCTAGTTGAGAGTGAATAGTCTGTTCTGTTTAAGTTTAAGTTATGTGTCCCATGCTTAATGAGGGACAATTCAGTCTTTTGTGTTTCAGTTTATATACAATATAAATACAAGTGGGTCGGCTAGGAGAGTGTAACTTTTCCTCTCTAGACCGAACCCTTCTTCTTTTTCTCTCTTTCTTCTTCTTCTTCTTCTTTTTCTTCTTACCTATAACTAATCTAGGGTTAAGCAATATATTCACAATCATCTCCCCCACTTTTTATCTACATCTATCTAAAGAAAGTTGAATTAAAAAATTTAAGAATTGTTTAAATACTCTAACAAAATTATATAGTAACTTCAAAATATTTATTAAAAGGACAAAAAATAATTATAGTCGATTTAATAATATTTATATTATTTATAATTATATATTTTTACAAAATTCATCACAAAATTATGTACAAACAATATAAATTATGATTTTCTAGATTGTTCAATCTAAATGTTATTCAAATAATAAAAATCTAACATTAAAAATGAAATATTATTTAAATATTTCAATAACTAAATATATTAAATAACAAAATATTCAAATTAAGATTTTAAATCAATTAATAATATATTTTAAATAGTTATTGAATAACTTTCAATTATAATAAATAGATTGAGATTTTAAATATTTAGTTAAATAAATAAATATTTTAAATAACAAAATATTTAACATAACTAGATTTTAAATAGTTAAAATAACAAAATTATGTATTAATAGTACTATAATTTTATGGATTATTAAAATCAACAAGTAATTAATATTTTAAAATAATGATATTATTTAAATAAATAAATAATATTGTAAATAACTAATTTCATTTATACTAATTAATAATTCTAAAAAATAACTTTCAAAAAAATTGTTTATTAATATAATTTTAAAAACTTAGTCTTTATTTATTTTGTATTTATCTATACTAAAATTAATATTTATTGCATTTTAGTAATTATTTATTGCTTATGTGATAAATATATTTTCAATAATTATGTATAAATCTATTTCGTTTTATTATTTAATAGAAAATTTTCAATAATTATTGAAGTTTAATAAAGCTATTGTTATTTAGCTTTTTAAATTTAATTTATTGTGTATTTTCGTTATAAATTTTTAATAATTATTGGAGATTAAACGATTGTTCACGGGTTGGTTCGGTTTAGTTGTAGGTTGTTTGGCAAACCAAATTGACCTAGTTAGGTTGGGGTTGGTCATTCGGGTTATATTTGTTTGGGTCAATTTTCGGTTTAATCAGTCAATTTGTTTGGCAAACCAAAGTCGACTAGAAATACTAGAAATTAGGTTGGTCAGTTTCATTAGTTTGATTTGGACTAGCAACAGGGCAGGGCAGGGACAAGGAGCCTCTCCTCATCCCTATCTCCATGGTGATCCCCATCCCCACGAGGATCGACACTCCTTGTTATTCTTTATAATGTTAACCATTATATTTTTGTTTTTTTATTTTACTTAAAAAATAAAAATAAAATAATTAAGATTTACAATCCTATTAGAAAATGTTAACATATGGACGTATTTGTACATATGTACATATATACGTATGCGTATATACATATATATATATATATATATATATTAGTGGGGATTGGGGTCCACATGGGGAAAGGAGTGCTCTCCCCATCCTCACACTATCCCCGTCAATAGGGATGAAAATTTCCTCATCTTCGTCCCTGTGAGGGGAAAATCATCCCCATCCCTATCCTATTCGGGGCAGATCCCCATGGGGATCGGGGAAATGGGGAAAATTGCTATCCCTGAGTTTGATAAACAACCCTATCTAAAATTAATTACTGTTATTTTTGTATTGTAAAAAAATTATTAAAAGTAATATATAAAATATAAATGATTATTAATTATTATATAAAACAATTGTATATTCTTACATGTTTCTATTGTTTATTTTTAACTTAACACAAATCCTGTGCATTGCATGGGTCCCCATTAGTTTATATATATAGTAGGACCGCATATATTATCATGCCTCTCCTTTCTCCAAACCCCTTCCTAAGTTCTTGTTTTGTTTTTTTTTTTAATTCAACACAATATACATTAAGCCAATAAGGAAATAACATAGACTTAACTATTTATAACAACCATCAAGAAAGAGGGATTTGCTTTTCTAATATTCAGCCAAGTGACACCACTTTCCCCCATTTTCTCCTAAATTGTCTCCAATTCCTAATTACCTCTAACTCCTATTTATCTCTTAAATTATCTCTAATTTAGTAGAGAGATTCTCTCCTAAACTATCTCTAATTCCTAATTATCCTCTCCCCTACCTTTTATCTATATCTACCTAAACAAAGTTTCAATTAAAAAAATTCATAACTATTTAAATGTTATAATGAAATTATATACTAAATTTAAAATATTTATTCAAAATACAAAAAATTAATATATTTAATAAGATTCATATTATTAATAATTCAATATTTTTACAAAATTCATCATGAAATTATGTAGTAACAATATAAATTATAATTTCACAAATTATTCAGATTAATTGTTATTCAAATAATAACAATTTAACCTTAAAAAGTAAAACATCATTTAAATATTTCAATAACTAAAAATATTAAAAACATAAAAAATAGCTAAATAATATAACAAAATATTTAATATTACGTAATAACATTAAAATAAATAAAATTCAAATAATGAAAATTTTTAAATATTTTACATATTATTTAAATATTTAAATAACAAAATATTTCACATGACAACATTAACTAACTTAGATATTTAACATGACAAAATAATTTAATATTTTTACAAAATTAATAACGAATAATGTAATAATAGTACAATTATAATTTTATGGAATATTAAATTAAATAAATAATTAACATTTTAAGAATTTAAATAACTAAATAATATTGTAAATAAATAATTTCACATATATCAATTAATAATTATATAAAATAACTTGCAACAAAATTATATTTATTAGTAATTTTACAATAATAGTGTATATTCATTATATATTTGTATATACTATAATTAATATTTATTTTATTTTCAGTAATTATTTTTTGTTTTTTATAAATATGCTTTCAATAATTATTTATAAATGTATATTTATTTTTGTTATTTAATAGAAATTTATCAATGATTATTGGAGATTAAACAACTATTATTTATCTTTTGAAATTTAATTTATTGTATTTTTTGTTATAAATTTGTTTTTAGTAATTATATATTTTTTATAATTTATAGATTAATACTTATTAGAGATTAAACTATTATTTAAGATTATACAATTTATTGACTAATTTAGTACATTTTCGGTATTTATTATATTTTTGTAACTATTGTATTTTTATTATATTTTCATTATAAACTTATTTTCAATGATTGTGTACATTTGCTATAAATTTTGAATAATTATTGGAGATTAAACTATTGTTATTTATTAGAGATTAGGCTATAAATTTAGTTGAAATTAGGAGTATTCAATGATTGGTTCAGTTTAGTGGCAGGCTATTTCGCCAAGCAAATTGATCTGGTCAAGTCCGCAGTTTGTCACTGGAAACCGATTGACCATTAGCAAAAACCCACCAACTCGGGTTGTATCGATTTGGGTCTATTTTCAGTTTAATTTGTTTGTTCAAAATATTTAAACTTAAAAATTAACTTTAGATTTCATAAATTACAATGATATTATTAAAAATTAAATTAAAAAAATTAAATTTATGATATAAATATTTTAGACTAAAAAATATGGGAATTTTTCTACTTTCACATATTAAAAAATTAAATTTAAAATATAAAATATTATATATATTTATTAAACCAAAGCCGATCTAGAATACTAGAAAACCGACCAACTCGAGTTGAGTTTGATCGGATTGTTTATTAAAAAGTTAAAATATAAAACAATTATATACTCTTAAGTATTTCTATTGTTTAACTTTCGCTTAACAAAGCACGGGTCCCTGTCACCATACCTCTCCTTGCTCCATTATCCCCACCCTGCACTCTTTGACTTTCTTTCCTCTCCACTTCCCACCACTCCCATTAAGCCATGTCACCCAACTACCTAAAAATATTCCTATAATCTCTCTCCTAAGTTATCTCATTTAAACCAATAGAAAAGTATCATGTTGCCCCACTCCTAATCAATTCCTAAGATGCATTCCCTCAGTCTATATCCACTCTCCCTCATTTAAAATATTCATATTAATTAATAAATAGTTAAATAGGGTTAATATTTAATCCCACCCATATTCAATGAGTATTAAATATTGTTATTACCAAAAGTTAATAAATACGGTTAGTAAATTACCAAAAATTAATAAATATTGTTATAAAATGAAATTATTAATTAATTTAAATTGAAAAATAAAAGATAAATTAGTGTAATTTTGTTAGTAAATTACCAAATAAAAAAAATATATTTAATAACAATTTAAAAAAAAATCAATAAATCCCCATGGTTACACAAATGTAATAATTTTTTCAAAAATTTTCATAAAACTACATTTTCGTAAAATAACATATTTGAAATTAAATGATATAAAGTATTTGAAAGTTTATTTAAAATGCATTAAATAATCATTGAAAATTATTAGAATATTTTGGAAATTTTATGAAAATTGGTTACATTTGAAAGATTTTGGAAAACCATTGAAAAATTATGTAATTTTCATTGCAAATTATTGAAAATTACTAAAGATAAGTGACTATGGGAAATAGAAAACTATAATTTGAACAAATAATTACACAAATTAATAAGATAAATTAGTATAATATTAGAAAAAATAAATTATTGGTTAGACTGGAAAAATTGGAAACTAGGCACTGTTTCACCTCAAAATCGCTTTTTGTCCAAAAACCGTTTATTTGGTTAGCAAACCGCTAACCTGGGCGGCCGAACCATCAATACGGATAATAGTTTTTGGCCTTTCTTTTGTTTTTCTAATTTTTTATTTTTTTGTCAAAGCGGGTCATCCGTTCGGACCGAACAGACAGATCGTTCGACCCCAGAACGGTTCCCTATCCGGTCCAATTTTAAAAACCTTGGACGGGGAGTGGGTGCCTTGCCTTGAGCTTGGCTTGGTGTGCGGCACGGCCTGGCCCAAGGTCCGCCCCATGGACCAGCCCAACCCATGACACGGTATGGGCCCGTGCGGGCTTGAGCCATGGGTCGTGTCGAACCGACCCCCCAAATTATCCCATAGGGGGTAGGCACGATTCGGGACGCCTTGTGGGCCAACACGGTACGACTCGCACTTTGTGCGGGCCACATGCGGGTCATGTCATGCCAACCTAGCAGGACCCAATTTACCCTCTACTTGAACCCGCCCAATACTGGGGACGGGGTAGGGAAATTCGAGAGTTCTCCATCATTGTTGAGGAGTGGGGTGCCTTGCCCTTGAACTCGCCCGACATTGAGGAGTGGTTACCTTGCCCTGAACCCGCGTGACACTGGGGATGGGGCATGGATCGGGTAGAGTGTCTTGACTATGGGGCAGGGAAAGGGATGGGGTGCCCTGCCCTGAACCCACCCAGTTGCCATTCCTATATAATTGTTAATTATTAGTGGAATTAATAAAAATGTTAGCTTTTATAATTAGTTGTATTTATTTAAAAGTAATCAAATTTTCATTTAAAAATAATAAAATTATTGAAATTACTACAAATTATTAATAAAACTAAATTTATTAAAAAACATTTGTTCATATTTAATTAACAATAATTATTTTTTATAAATCAACATTAAATGAAAAATAAAATTATTAAATCTTTTAGATTTTCCCATGCATCGCATGGGTCCCTGCTAGTTTATCTCTTAAATTATCTCTAAATCCTACTTATCCTCTCACAAACATTACCCCCGTGAATTGGGAACATCTCCCCCTGCATAATATTATGCAGGAGGATGAGATATTCTCAATGTGTAACTACGATGTTATGTAGGCAAACATGGGCAGAGTTCTCATGGGCAGGAGACCCAGACTCCTTTTTATGTACATCTATCTAACGAAAGTTTCAATTAAAAAAATGTAGAATTATTTCAATATTATAACGAAATTAAATACTAACTTTAAATTTGTATTCAAAACACAAAAATTAATTATAATAGATTTAATAATATTCATATCATTATATTATTACAAAATTAATAAGAAATTATGTAGTAATAATATAAATTATAATTTTATGAATTATTCAATTTAAATGTTATTCAAATAATAAAAATAAAATTTAACATAAAAAATAAAACATTATTTAATTATTTCAATAACTAAATATCTTAAATTACAAAACATTAAAAATAGCTAAATAATTATATAATAAAATAGTTCATATTATGTAATAACATTAAAATAAATAAAATTCAAATAATGAAAAATTTTAACTAACAAAATATTTAACAAGACTAAATCTATATTAATAATATACAATATAAATAAATGCAAAAATAAATACTATTGAAATAGTGGAAGTATATTAATTAAATTAGAGGCATTAAAGCTTTTTATTAGTTATTTCTTGTATTTTCATTATAAATATATTTTTCAGCAATTGTGTATTTTTGCTATAAATTTTCAATAATTATTTGACATTAAACTATTGTTGTTTGTTAAAGAGTAGACTATTAATTTAGCTGAAATTAGGAGTGTTCACTAGGCAATTTAATTCGGTTGGAGATTGATTGTTTGGCTAGCCAAATTGATCTGGTTGGGTTAAGGAGTTGGTAACTCGAAATTGACCAACCATTAGTGAAAACTAAATTTTGGTTAATTAATAAATGTTCAAATTTTTTATGTTTAGCATAATTTACATTAATCATTGTAATTTAATAAAATTTCATTAATTTTTTATAACAATTATTTAATCATAAAAGATATTACTAATTGGTGTCATTTACTAATTTGTATAAAACCAATAATTATAGTTAACAATTACCAAATAATTTAGGGAAAATGTTTAACTAATAATCCATAATTTTTTAAATAAATAATAAATAAAAAATTAGAAAATTAAATGATGTGGCGTAATCCGGTTGCTCCCTACTGGAGACGATCTGGCTGCCAGCAACGACAGGGACTGGGTAACCTGCGAGAGATGAATCAGAGATCCCGGGGTGGCTTACCCGGCGGGGATACTCCGATGGCTAAGTTAGCACTTAGTAGTAGTAGTAGAGAGCTTGAAGATGATATCAGTGAGTTAGAGAGCAAAGATTACGCATACACACATATAAAAAACATACCTTCGCCCCTGGGGGGTGAAGTCTTTATATACTGGAGTCCTCATGGGTTGGTGGAGCAGTTCCTGGATCCTTGCTGTGATGTGATCCGTTTGCGTGTTAGGTTGGTAAAATGCCATCAACCAGTAAGATTGTCTGCTCCCGTCTAAATTGAGGAGTGGGTGATCTAATATAGCCGTTATAGGTCATAATCCCGTAAAATGCGGAGTACGGTGGTGAGCTCCTCGGGGTTGTAATGCGGAAGTCGGCCTGAATGGGAGGCGAGCTGCCTGAGCTCGTGCTCTTCAGATCTGACTTGATATGAATGGCGAAGTGCCTTGGGACCGAGGTGGTCCTGGTGTGACCTTGCGCCGAGGTATACTCGTCCCGAGGTAGTCTTGACCGAGGTGGTCCATCTGTCCGGGTTCGATTTCTAGCGGACTTGATATCATTATCCTAGTCACGATCCGATATCAGGGTGACTTCAGTTCGGGGGTCTTAGGGTACCCGAGGTTGCTTTGTAGCGAACTGATCTGTCACTTGTGTTGAGTCACGTTCACGTGCCGATCTGATTATGTTGAGTTGTCATTTATGCCGAGTCACGTCCACGCGTCTCCCTGTTACGAGGTCGGGCCAAATTTCCCTTCATCATTAATCTATGAAAAAATTCTCCAAAACTATTTAAATAATAGTCCATTATTATTATTCGACTAAATAATTATTGAAAATTTTAGGAAAATTAAATTAGGAAATTAATCGATCAAAAGTTGTTTCATATTTATTTAAATAACAATCCATTATTTTTATTTTAATAAATATAGGTAATTTATTAAATTTACCCACACCGGTTTAGACCACCTAGTTGACTTCAACCATACTTGCTTTTACATTAATCAACAACAAATGATTTACTTTTAATTAAAATAAATATAATTTATCATAATTACATCACATTGATAATTTAGGCTTAAAAAATAAATAATTTACATTAATTCACATTAATTTATTGTTATTGTAAATAACTAATTTACTATACATTCTTTCCAATCAACAACAATTTCAATAACTTTTAGAAATTATCATAAAGTATTATAATTTATTGTTATTTAATTGACTATTAGTTAATTAGTTATAGAAAATTATTAGAATTGTTGGGATGACAATTTTCCCTGTAAAACTAGGGTCCTACCCTGCCCCACATCAAATGGGGCAAGTTTTATCGAATTTTCAATAGGGATGGGAAAGAGAGAGGGTTGGGACGAGGAAAATATTTTTGCTCTAAATTAGGGACAAGGTTTGCATATATAAATTAGTAAAGTATTAGCAGATTTAATATTAACTTTTAAAATATCTCTAAGTTTTTGTTATATTCTTATAACCATAGTATCTCACAATTTCATTTATAAAATACCCCAAATTTTTATAATCCAATTCCTAAAATACCCCTAAATTCCTATAATCATATATTATAAAATATCCATAAATTAGATTATTTTTAGGTTATTGCCTAAGAGTGGAGAAAATTTAGGATTCCCCATCCCCAATAGGGAATAGGTGCCTTACCTCAAACCCACTCCACCATCAAGTACTGGTGAGAATGGAGTGAAATGTCTTGACCATAGGGGCAAGTGACAGGGACCCGCTAGTATATAATATGACACATCTAATATATAACATTACATTATATAAACACGTAAAATGACAGGTCCCGGAATCAGGCTTAAAAAAAACAGGGCCCGGCCCATGATCACCCTACCGGACTAAAGTTACAAAACTAACCGTACGATTTTTCAAATGAGTCCTGGCCTCATGGGGTACTGCTTTACTACGGCGTATAATTGATGGTATTTATTCTGTCGGCGTAAATTGTAGAAATCCGGATTTGGTTCTCAGAGCGCTCCTCACACAAACCTTACAGAAATCCGCAGATTGGGAACATCTCTCGCACTCACGTTGCCATTCATGCGAGATGTTCTCAATTAACGGATGAAACGTGCCATGTGGTTGGAGTGAGGAGTGCTGTATCAGAATCAAATCCGAATTCAAATTGAAGTTTGTAGTCTTGTAGAGGATCCGGGTAATTCTACACTCTCCCTCCATGCAGAGGAAGGGTTTTACGCTTGGCGGGAAAATTCCTGGGGGAAAACCGTTCTTGATCGGAGCCCTCTGATTACTCATCGATTCAGCCCAACGACATGTATAACCTTACAACCCCTTTCTTCTTCTTCATCATCATCATCATATTCTTCTTCTTCTTCTTCTTAAATGGATTGAATTTTAGGATTCACTTAGTTACGTTTTGCCAAGAAACCTTCATGCGCAATCGTATAAACTAAAAAAACACAGAGGTATCGATATAATGCTCTCTCCTCCCTCTCTGCCCCCCAACACGGAATCACTTTAATCAATGTTTGTCTTCCAGAATGCTTCCAATATTTGAATAAACACCACATGTATGCATGGCAACTCAACAACATGTAGATAACTTTACTCAATTCTGAACTTCTGATTCATAAGGAATTTTGTGATTCTTTTTTTTTGTTTTATTCTTGTTCTGGTATTGCAATTTCTATATTCCGGACAATTGGCATCATGAGTGCACGAATGCTTATATGTGTGCATATACATGTAATGATTCATTTTGTTCAAAAGTATTGATATGAACCACGCGAATTGGTCAAGGATCACCACATTAATTGGATAATGAAATTTGCTATTCTAAAGGGATTCCTTGATTCTCTAGGATAAATCATTGGGAAAACGCTTTCAGGTGGATGCACATCCGTTGCTCTAAAGTTAGGATTGCATCCCTTAAAATTCTTTCACCATCTAATTCATTGTATCTGAACTGTAAAGGGGACTAGTTACTAGTACCATTTCCTGGGAAAAAAATTTGGATTCGTTATCCCAGGATCCAGGTCTCATTGTTCATAGAAGTTCACGTTACTGTCCAAATCCATATTTTATTGCTGTTTACAATAGTTTGGGATTCCATACTAATTATTTGTTTAATGCCACTAGTTCCTTGTTAGATCGAATAAATTTGAGAACCTTTCTTTCTGGTTCACAGTAGCTCTTAAAATCCTTCATATTTTGTGCATCCTAATTCCTAAGAGTGGAATTAAGAAAATGTTTTTTCCCATCAATTTTACATAGCTATTGTCTTCAAATTGGCATAATTGGTGCACTTTCTTTTGTAGCATTTTTTTTTTTTTAAATTCTTTTGTTTGTTCATGCCTTCTCTATGCACCATCATCACTCAGTATTTCTAGCAGAAGTTAATGCTTTGGCTTATTAAACAAAATAAGTAAGTTCTGCTTTCAACACACACAATCCAGAAAAGATCACATATGATGGTAGCATTGACGTGGATTTGGAGCTCATGCTGTTTTGATTCTGCCCTTTGATGGTTTCAGTGGGGTTATGAAACTTCAATAGTTTTTGACCAGTGTGGTATTTAAAAGCTTAGAGAGGCAGCAAGATGATGCAGACACATCCATTGGGACAATTCGCAGGGCAGTACATCCCCAATTTGTGTGGTTCATCCCATCCAAGTGGAAGTGTCTTACTTCAACAGACAGCAGAAAACCTAGTTGATCTTTCAAATGATTGGCATAAGGACCCGGGAATCAATCACATGCGTAAATTTATGCAAGAGAAAATGTAAGTTAAGTAGATTACAACTTTGCATTAGGCCATACACTTCTTATAAGACATCTTTTCCATGCTAATTTTTCATGCCTTAATAGATTTTGATATGGATGTTAATCCTTGTATGCTCTTCCCTTTGAGATCCAAAAAAGATGAAATGAGAGTTTTAGCTGTGCATCATGTATCACTTCAATTTTATTTCACCATTTAATGTTTTTACAGTGCTAAATATTTCTTGGCGCTACCACAAGCCTATGATTGGGGTAAAAGAGTAGACTACGCTGTGAAATCCATTGAATGCAGACTTTTTAAGGAGGCTATTTCAAAGGTTGTTGTTCTTCTAAAATACATTATTTTTTGTTGCATGGATGTTTTTATTTATTTGTTTTATGATAAGTAACAAGCTCCATTGCGTATTAAGTATAAAGGAGAAAGTAGAGGAAAATACTACACCTATCCCCTTAGGTTGTGTTTGGTTTGAAAGAAAAGGTAGGAAATGCTAGAATTTTCCAAGACAAGCAGAGATCCTTTTCAGAAATGGAGGAGTGCATCTTAACTAGGGCTATTCATTGGCTGAAATCCCTATATTCTTTCAATTCCTTCTCCTTTATTGACATTTAGAGGAGTTGGACTGTAATACCCCATACTTTGGTTAAGAAAAACAGACTTATTCTATTTGATTAATGAAATTAACTTTCAATTATCAAAAAAAAAAAAAGAAAAGAAAGGATGGGAAAGATAGGGAAACCTATACAAACCCTACTATATAGGTTTCCCTACCTTTTCTTTCAAACCAAACACAGCCTTGGGTTGAAGGGTGCTAGGGTGCAAAGTTCAATGGAAGACAATAGCAGTACAGTAGCAAGTAAAAGTTGATCCAAGACAAGAGGACCCCAATGAAGTGCTTGCTATTCACACCCCTCTAGTTAGACTATCTAACAATTGTCAATCAAATTTGATACCCACTTGAATATGTAATTCAGCCTAGTTGCCAAAAATTTAGCTTATCTTATGAGGTGTGTAAAGATGCATGGGTCTTCGTCTTGGTAGAGCACCTACCTTATGGAATCACCTCCATGATTTCTGCTCTAACACTATTTCCTTTTTTTATGATGTTCAACTGATCAAGTTGATTTTCAATCCAAACAACCTATAAAATTCAAAATTGGGCTCAGTATTTGGATTTTGGATCAAACTGGTATTAATTCCTTTTGGCTCTTTTTTAATTGAGAAATTTCTGATCGTTGACATACTTTGTTCCCATCAACTACAATTTCATACCTATGTTGAACTCATGTACTTCCATTTGTGTTTAGGAGGATTATATGAACCAGGATACTCTGGCTCATAGAATGCATGTTTTAATGAAAACTGCACTAGCTGATGCTAAACATAGTCACCAAGTAGTCCAGGGCCATAGTTCATCAAACATCAGTATGATCACACCAAGTTCTGTTATCCCAAAGAGTAGTTGCACTTCAAACTCAACAGAGCCTCTTGTAGATAACCCCTTGAACACAAGCAGTGGCTCTGGCACTTCAGTAACAGACAACAATGATCATTCTGCTGGTGTCTTTCCTGGTACGTCATTGAGTATCTCTAGAGTTATGGTTCAAATGCTTCATGGTTGGTTTGGTTGTTATTTTACATTCCTATCTCATGCTGCACGTGTACTTTTTCAGGACCCTTATCTTATGGATGTAGTGAGGGATTAGCAGATATGAATTTTCTCTGCAAGCAAGATAATATTCTCTCACCAATAAATAAGTTGCAAGATGCTAGCCAGATGGTTCCTACTCCTCAAAGGAACCTCCTAAAAATTTCATCCACGAATAGGAGGTCTGGCATATTGCAGAGGCTGCCTTCCTATTATGGTTTTCCAAATGAATCTCCTAGTGTTTGGCAAACATTTACTGAAAGAAGTATGGAATATATTGTTGGAGCCAGAGCAGCATCCAAGACCTCTCTAAATTTCTATGGCTGTGGTAATCTTTCAAAATCTCTACAACATCTTGACGAACAGTTTCAGGATCAACCAATGCAAGGTATGCTCTATTGCTACTCTTTTGAACACTTTTTTGTCTTCAATTGAGGTCACTAGAGCAGAATGGAGGAACAAGAATTAGCTGCCAACCCTACTTAGTTAGGACAAGGCAGGTGATAGTGGTGATGATTTCTGTCATGTATACTTTGTTGTCTTGAATCGAAAACCACGTTATCATTCTAAATCAGCACATATACAACTATTTAGTTTGACTTCTCTTACCATGTAATTTTAGCTTAGTCTGATTCACAGGAGTTAGTAATACCAAATGGAGTAACAGTAGCATGACTTCGTTAAGTTATATTCAATAACATGGTTCATTAAACCTTGCTTTTGTTTCTTTTTTTTCTTTTATTTTGTTCTTCTGAGTTCCAAGGAATTTTGTCTTAAGGAAATCGCACATGACTTCCAATTTTCATTATTTTTCTTTAAATTTTCTTCTCCCTCTTTGTTAACTATGTTTCTTTTGCAGTTTTTGAAGTGAATGCTATAGAAGCTTTGGATTGCGAGAACAACCAAAAATTTAATCACCTGGATTTTGGTCATACATATAAGAAAAGTTCAGCAGAGCTGCCCTTCTCTCTTCTGGCCAAGATGAATGGCCAAGTATCCAGTTCAACAAATGAGCATTTACTCAATTCTCACTACCAGCTGCAAGAGTTTCAGCAATTACAGGGGCAACTGGATGCACCATATTTACATTTCAGTCAACCGTTTGAGGTCCAACCACTTTGTGATCCTGAACTGCAAGTACAGAGGATAGGTTCAGATAATGGCAAAGATTTTCAACCAGAGGTCCTAGAACAGAATCCACATTCTGAGTCTCAAACCAGATACCAGCATTCCATGTCACAAGAACCTAGCATGATGGAGACAAATGCCCGATATGAATCTCATCAACGAATAACAGGACAAGATCCGTCTCAGCAGCCTCAGTTTTCTTCAGAAGAACCTGTTGGGAGACCAGATATTGCTTCAGAAATGTTTGTACTCCCCCATAGTTCAGATGTAGCACTTGGATCTGGGAATACATCTGTTGGACTTCAATACCTTATGAAACATATGCTTCTCTTGTCCTACATCCAATATATGACTAACTCTATGCATGATGATAATGAGAAAGTTCTCTTTAAGAAACTTTTGATGCATCTAGACAAGTGCACAGACAGCTTTTGTGCATGTATCATGCTACGTGAGCTGTTGAATCATTTCCATAGTTGTCATGATGATGCCTGTCTCATTTGTGGGCCTACTAGGTCATCTACTTCACTTCCACTTAATCCTGGTTTGGATAAATCAAAGAATGTTCTCCAAAAGACATATGATGATGGAGATGCTAGCCAGTCAACTAGTGGCACTTTTGAAGATATACAGCGTCCTTCTAAACTCCTCAAAAGAGAGCACCCCTTCTCCCCACTCTTCGGCCAGAATGTAACATCTCAAGCATTGGCTTCTTTTGCAGATCAGCATCATTCTCAAAGTTTTCAGCAAATGCATCAATTGCATGGTATGCCTGTATCTGTTACTGAGGCTATGGAGGTAAAGATTGGTATGCACATGAATTTGATTGTGGACCATGTAAATACTAGTGGAACTGAAAATGGTTATCTAGATGACCATAAAAAATTGAATCTTGTTGGTGATCTTGTAATTTCTAAAGAATCTTTTACTAGCAGTATGCAAGAGGACATTAAGACCATGGCCAAGCAGGAAGCTGAACATGAACTTACTGTTCCAGTAGCTGATAATGTGGAAGGAACAAAGTTGGGTAAGACAGAGATAGAAGGTGTATCTTTGATGGAAATGTTCACTCTGAACCAAATTAAGGAGCATATATTGAGTCTAAGGCAATGGGTTGGTCAGGTTAGTCCATATATCTTTTGATCGCTTGATATATCTTTTTTTTTTGTTTACTTACCAATAAGAAATGTGGAGAATTCTCCCTATGGATATGTTCTCCCTATAAGTCAGGGCATGCTGTACACAGTTTTATTGTGATTCTGCCATATTTGTTCTTTTTATCGAATTTGGTACAACACAAAGGGTGCAATATATATATGCAAGGTTCAAAGTATTGATGCACACTGATACGCCAGATGGGGTGTTTCAACTCCACACCCTCCCTTTTTTGTTAATTTTGTTTTCAAAACCTGTTCAGAGGGTTTCTTTTTTTTTTTATGAATAAGAAGAGCTTTTATTAATCTTTAAGATAAAACTTTACAAGCATCCCTTAGATAGGCACAAGATGCTACGTCTCTATAAACAACAAAGAAAAGTTAACCAATGCATCTCCACACTTTCCTTTCTTGAAGAACTTTTGACAATTGCTTCCCAATTCCTCCAAACGTCGTCAAAGGAGAATTGGGGGAACAACTCCAAAGTCTTTATCCAATGCATTACCTTAACCATTACACAATCCCTAACAGCTTCTTTGTTTCTCTTTTTTTTTTTGAGAATATTCTAGCATTCCTTTCTTCCCATATAGTTCACACCAAGGCTGCTCTAACACATCTCCATGTTATTCTTCCCCTTTTTTGGGCCACATAAGGATGGAAGGGAGGAAAAGCATATTTACCTCCAATGGTGAGGTCCACTTGCAACCAAACAAAGAGAAAAACCAAGCCCAAATCTTTGCAACAAAAGGACAAGAGATCAGTAAGTGATAGCAACTCTCATTATTGGATTTATACAAGATACACCAGTTAGGAGAGAGATAGGAATTAGGCCTTCTCTTTTGTAGCATATCCATAGTACTAATCTTCCCATGCACTACTTCCTAACAAAAGGCTCTTATTTTGGGTGGAATGGGTCTAAACCAGAATTCTTTACAAGGAAAGGAAGGAGGACTTGAAGAAATGCACTAAAATCTTGAACAAAGAGGCACAAGAGAACAAACCCTTAGTTTGAGGGGCCCAAGTACGCTTATCAAATTTATTAGGGTCTAAGCTAACATTTTGAAGGGTTTGTAAAAGATCCGAGCAAGCTGAGACTTCATTGTCTCTTAGACCTCTGCAGAAGACAAAGTCCTAATTGAGACTCATAGGGAGTAAGGGAGGAGCAATAAAATTTGACACACATTTAGTTTTATACAAAGAAACCAAATATAGAACAGGAAGAAGATACTTCAGCGGACAAGAACCAACCCAAGTATCCTCCCAAAATTTAATAGAAACCAGAGCAAACATCATACTTGACAAACCGAAGTAATAGAGGCCAAGTGTGGTGAATGGCTTTCCACGGAAAGGCCAGTGTAGCCCTGTTAGATACTCTTGCATCCCAACCGTTTCCCAACCTCCCATGTATGCTTGCTATTACTTCATGCCACAGTCTATCCCTTTCCTATGGCCATCTCCATATCCATTTCCCTAGCAAAGCCAAATTCTTTTTATCTATATTTCCAATACCCAACCCACCCTCTTGGAGGCATATACAAACAACCTCCCATTTAACCAAATGATCTTTCTTTCTGTCACCCGGCTCCCAAAGGAAATCTCTCATCACTTTTTCATTTTTTTTGCTTCCTTTTGGGGGATCCTAAAGATTGACAAATAATAAATTGGTAGATTAGCAAGAGTGCATTTAATCAAAGTAATTCTTCTCCCAAGGACACATAATTTCTCTTCCAAGTTGCCAATTTCTTTGCACACCTCTCAACAACTGGATTCTAGAATATGCTTTCTCTAGGGTTTGTTCCTAATGGAAGGCCAAGGTAGGTTAGGGGCCAACTAGCCATGGAACTGTTATGGGCCCGTGAATAGGATCTCGTCACGGGTCGGTCCACGGGGAAAACCTCCTGTTTTCCCTTGTTCCTCCCTGCTCTTGATGAACCTATCTTGGCTCCCTAATGATGATTTGTCCAAGAGATCACCTAACTCTCCTTACTCTCTTCTTGACTGAAATTTTCGATGCCTTTATTCAATATTCTCAGCTCCTTAATAGGAGATTACAAGAGATAAGAGTCCTACTTTTAGGAAGACTCCTTGATAATTAGGAAGACTCCCTACTAATCTATCCTACTGAACTGATAAGATAAGACTCCCTTAATCTATCCTACTGAACTGATAAGATAGGATAAGATAAGACTCCCTTAATCTATCCTACTGAACTGATAAGATAAGATAAGATAAGTCTCTCTTAATCCTAATCTAATAAGATAAGATAATCTCTCTTAATYCTAATCTAATAAGATAAGTCTCTCTTAATCCTAATCTAATAAGATAAGATAATCTAATCTACTAACTTAATAAGATAAGATAGGAATAACAAGATAGTCTAATCTAATATGCTGAATGGATAAGACTGTTGCTACCGAATTGGATAGGATGAGAACACCGGATCATTGCTGCTGCTGCTCCCAATACGCATCCACATCAGGAACACTCTAAGGTATATGCAATAGAGTTTAGTTCCCCATCTTTCAAGTTGATCCCCGCTACACAACTCTTCTCAAGGTTGATTTTTAGGTTAGACACTAGCTCAAACTTCCTCACCACCTCCTTCAAGTTCCGCATGACACCTTGCTCACCCCCTTTATAGAAGATTATGATATCATATGCAAATTGTAAATGTGTCACTAAAACCATATTCCTTCCAGTCTTCCTCCCTTTTATTTCATTATCCTTATCAGCCTTTAAGATCAATCTACTAAACACCTGAGCTACTAGGGTGAATAGAAAAGGTGAAAGAGGATCACTTTGCCTTAAACCCTGACAAGCTGGAAAGAAGTCTTTCACAACCCTATTAGCCAGGATAGAATAGTGACATGAATTAATACAACCAAAAATCTACTTACACCATCTCTCCCCAAACCCAAAATTTTTCATTAACTCAACAAGGAAGGTCTAGTCTACCAAATCGTAGGCTTTCTCCAAATCCAGTTTGCCGGCAAAACCTTTCTTCCTTGATCTCTTCATTTCCTCCACACATTCACTAGCGATAAGAATTTGATCAGTTATTTGTCTTCCCTAGATGAAGGTCCCCTGATTTTGACTAATTATGGCTGGAAGTGCCATTTCTAATCTCAAAGAGAAAACCTTAGCTAAGATCTTGTAGATGCTTGTTACTAGAATGATGGGTCTAAAGTCCTTTGGATGTCTAGCACCAATCCTCTTTGGAATAAGGGCAAGAAATGTTGCATTCACCCCTCAACTCACAATAAACCTCTCCGCAAATTCATTAAAAAACCTCACAAAGATCAACTTTTACAATGTCCCAACAGTCTTGGTAGAAAGCCATAATAAAGCCATTTGGCCCTGGGGCTTTTGACCTATTCATTGAGAAAACTGCCTTCCTTATTTCCTCTTCTTCAAAGTCTCTTTCCAGCCAATGTGCTACTTCAGTCTCCACTCAGGGCCACTCAATATCTTCCAATCGTAACCTATGATCCAAGGGACTCCTAAAAAATGATTTGAAGTGGTCCACAAAAATCTTGGCAATTTCATCTTGATTTGTTATCTCTTGCCCTTCTGCCTCCAATCTGGCCACAAAAATTCTTCCTCTTCCTCCTCTAGGGTTGCACATTGGGTAAAAACTCTGGATTTGTTCAAGGATGTTTCAATTGATGATATAATTAGAAATTGGAATGCAGTGGTGAATTTTTCAACCTCAAGGGCTAATATACAGGAAGTTTGATTTCCTTCACCTAATCAAAGACTAAAGTTAAACTTTGATAGGAGTTCATTTTGGAACCCGGCCCGTCAGGCACAGGTGGATTAATTAGTGATGGAGAAGGGAGATTTTTGGCATTATAATCAGGGCCAATAGGAGAAGATGACTCTCTCAGGGCTGAAGTTTTAACTCTCCTCCAAGGGCTGAGATTGGCGAAACAACTGGACCTCCAACAAATTGAAGTGGAGAGAGACTCAAAACTGGTGATAGGGTGGTTACAAACAGGTAGCATGGGAATTTTGGTCCATAGGTTGGCCTTGAGGGAGATTAGAAGCTTATCAAGGGAGCTGTGTGCTACTGTTAGATGGGTTAGAAGATCAGAAAATGGTTTGGCTAATACATTGGCCAAACAAGGGACATTAAGGGATGATTTGTTTTGTGTTAAATTGTAATTGAATCCATTTGGGGGGTTAGTCCCTTTTTATGGGGACTGAACCTGTATTCTATAAAACTATCTTAATGAAAGTTATTGTTTCCTACCAAAAAAAACTCCAATGTCTCAATGCTCCTATTTCTTAGGCTTCAATGTATTTAACTGGTTTTAGCTCTCCAACAAACTGTACTTGTTCTCTTGTTGATGTTGGTGGAACTTTTGCTTTAGGCTCAAATATTGGGTTCAACTTGTAACTCATGCTTTAGGCTCCAATTGAACTTTCATAGTATATCCATGGTCTACTTTATCAAGTTGCTGTTTTGCTATATCCAATTCAACTATGACATGTTCATTAGCATCTTCAACAGGCTTTATGTTAGTATCTTCTTGGTTCAAACTTTTTTTTTGAAACTGTGAAGCATGGTATTCTATTTCAATTGACTTTTTTTTTGGAATCTTCTTGGTTCATCTCTTTAAGAGTATAAAGATTTTCCAAATAAAAAAAGAGCTGTAGTTTTTACCTTTAAATAATTTATGATTTCCCACCCAAGTGAATAACATTCCCATTACTCTCTTAACCACCTCTTCTACTGAAACCTGCTTACCTCCAAGTATTCTAGCATTCCTACTGCACAAAATACTGCTGCAGTGATGACGCTCTGTTACATGGCCCTTTCTCTCAAGGCCTTCCTCTGAGTGTTTTAGCTTAATATTTTTTGATTGGTAGGCCTTACTTGCTATCCATCTATCATCTGCTTGGCTTGGGTTCTCCATGGGGCACAGTAAATGATGTGGCGCAATCCGGTCACTCCTAGCTGGCGCT